AAAATAGTTTTTTAATCATTTTGGCATTTCTCAAATTTTTCATCACTTTTTTCTCATAATCTTCACTATTTCTGTAAATGAACCCTAATTTTCATTTTGTGAATTTGTGATGAAATGAGGGAACTGGTGGTGAAAAGGTTAAGCCACTTCACAAAGAGAAATAAAAAATCCTGAATTTTTTTCAAAAATTTGAAAGTGAATAATTTATATTTGGCTTCAAGACTTGATCAAAATTTTGGAAAAATTATAAAAAAAAATTGATTTATAAATTTGTGAGTGTTGATGAAAGTGTTTCAATTTATTGTAGTCAAATTGTAGTCTAAAAGGAAATTTGTTATTGGAGACTATCGAAGGATTAACAGAATTCCAGAAATTATGAACTATTCAATTCTTATTAAATTAATACAAAAAAAAAATGTTTTTTGACCAATTTGTCTTTTAAATTCAGCAAGCAAAATTGTCATTAAATTCAAGATTTGTTTATGAAAACTGAATTTTTCTAAAATCTTGGTAAAAAATTAAATGTTATTTTTGTTTATTTTCAGTTTCCATCGTGCCAATGTGTTGAGCACTGCATGTCGCTATGGTTACAAACCTTGCATCGATGAGGCTGTACAACAGTTTGACTTGTGGATGCAGGATCCTGTTGCTAATGCGTGAGTATTAGTCTGCACTTTTTTATTACTGTTCATATTTCTGATTGTCCGTCGTCGTCGTCGTCCGTCGTCGTCAACTTTACAATTTCAACTTCTTTTTCAAAGCAGCAAGTCAGAATGTTTTCAAATTTGATATGCAAGTACCTTGGATGGTTCTTTTTCAGATTTGTTCATTTCATGTCAAAATCTCAAATTCTCTATTTTTGGTGAATATTTTTGCAATTTTTGGTAAAAAGTGATATTTTCAAGTCTGATTGCTTTATTACTATACATATTGTTCATTTTCTAATGATATCTTCAGTTCTTTAATTGAAATGTGCATTGCTAACAGCGGAGCTATCTCAGCCGATAGGCTGCTTGTCTTATATTATTCTATATTTCTGGAAATAAACCCTAATTTTGGAGACAACAAACAAAATTTGAGTAAATTTTCAGTTTTTACTCAAAAACTTTGGCTATTCTTGGCCCAGTCTTGTGAAGAAAAGTGCAGACTATAAACAGGACTATTTTGTGCTTATCATATGAGTGATTGTTCATCGTCGCCGTCTGTCGTCGTGTCAATGTTTTACTTTTTCGACTTTTTCTTGAAAACTACAAGCCTGAATGCTTTGATACTTGGTGTATATGTACTTTGGGTAGACCTATTTTAGGTTTCATGATGATATCTTCAATTCTCTAATTTTGATGAATATTTTTGGTAAAAAGTTATAGTTTTTTCGAATTCTTGTTGAAAACAGCAAGTCTGATTGCTTTGATACAGTGTACTATACATATTGTTCATTTTCTAATGATATCTTCAGTTCTTTAATTGAATTGTGCATTGCTAACAGGGAAGCTATCTCAGCCGAGAAGCTGCTTGTTACTTATGTGTTTACACACAGAATTTCATATTCATCTTAACAGTTTTTGGTAAATCCCACATTTCGGTGAAAGGGTGATTGAAATACAACAATGTATTTTTTTAGTTTTTATATCTTTCTATTTTTTTTTGAGATAATTTTGGACCCAAATGGACATAATTTCCTTTTGGCTACAAGTCTTCATCAAAATTTTTGAAAAATTATGAAAAAAATAATTGTTTTAAAACAATTGTAAATGATGATGAAATTAGACTTTGAAGTTCAAAAGTTCAAAAGTTCAAAAGGTTAAATCTTATAATATCAAAATAATTAGGTCTAGAAATTTTTGAAAAAAATAGGAAACAAATTTATGCAGGTTTATTTTTTGACAAAAAATTTTTTTTTCAGTCAAATTTTTAATGACTCCACATAGTTGACCTAAAAAATATATTAAAACTATGAATAACATATTTTAGTATAAATAATAATATATTGCTCAACATTTTTGAAAAATTATGAAAAAATTTATGTGGGTTTAAAAATTGTGACATAAGTTGACTTCTGTCTGCACAGAAATAAACTTATCATGATAACCGCTACCCCGGTAACTCCTTATCTTTTGAAAGATTCTTAGTAATGTTTGACTTTGCCAATTTCAATTTTGGTGTCCAAACAACTATTTCCACCTGGGAGGCTAGATGGTAAAAGTCATATACAGAATACACTTTTTTTCCTTCATTTTTTTTCATTTTACCCACATAATTCACTTGTTATGTTCAAGTTTGAATTCAACTTATGGTTGTAATTTGGGCTGAATATCATTTGACATTGTTGTCCATATTCAAATTGACTAGCTCTGTTCTTAATTTTGAAAAAAAAAATCTGAAAAAAAAATATGCTGCATGGATTTGTGATAGGTGAAAAAAGTTGAATTTGGCATTCAAAGGTTAAAGGTCAACATGTTAAAGGTCAACAGCATTCTTCTGACTAATACTGTCAAATGACTAATTTTCACTGGGTTTATATTTCGTTGATTTACCATTTCAGTGGGTTTTAAATTCACGGTTTTATCATTTAGATAATGTGTTCTATGCTAAATTTTACATATTCACTGGGTTTTATTTAGCGCATTTTCCAGTCAGCCAAATAAGCAAAATTAAAACCCAGTGAATAATTAACCCCTTTACAGTAGTATTTTTATAGTACATTATCACTCATTTTATAGTGCGTAATCTTCTTTTCTATTTACAGCATCACCCCTAATTTGAAGTCCCTCGTGTATTGCAATGGTATACGACACGGTGGCGTCAAAGAGTGGGATTTCATGTGGGAGCGTTACCAACAAGAAAGTGACGCCGGTGAAAAGTCACGATTGCAGTCATCGATGGCTTGTAGTAACGTGCCATGGATATTAAGCAGGTATTGTCGCCAGGGTTACCAAATACTGTAAAATACTTTATTTTCGTTTGAAATTAATTTTCAATATTTTCGCTGAAGGAATGATTCAATGAAAATAAAATCCAGGGAATATACCTTTTTTCATTCAACTCGTCAAAAATCAGTGAAAATAAATTCCATACAAAACACCGAAAAAGTCTCTTCAGCAAAAATTAATTCCAGCTAAAATAAAGTATTTTACAGTACAGGTATTGTGTTACCAGAATGTGGTGTTAAGACGAAGGGCACACATGATAAGAACTAATGCTAAAAACGCAAAGGCTCATGGGTAGATGCTTGTTTGTAAACAACAACACGCTATGGCTACCTATCGTGTCCGCAGGGGACGACTCCTCTGCTTTAAACCTGAACAACAACTATATATAAACCTTATTAATCTACTAGCCCTTGATTATAAACCTTATTAACCTTCTTGGACCTGGTTATATTTTATACCCCCCCCCCCCCTTTTTTTTTTCACTCTGAACAAGTACTATATTTATGGTTTTATTCTTATATAAACATTATTTACCTTCTAGAACCTGATTTTAAACCCAATTAACCTTTTAGGACCTGATTATTTAATACTCCCCCACTTTAATACTGAACAAGTAATAAAATCTATAATTTTATTCATATACAAACATTATTAACCTTCTTGAATCTAATATTAAACCTTATTAACATTCTAGAACCTGATTATAAGCCTTATTAATCTTCTAGGACCTGATTATAAACCTCTTTATCTTCCTGGTCTGATTATAAACCTTATTAACCTTCCTAACATGATTATAAACCTTATTAACCTTCTAGAACCTGATTATAAACCTTATTAACCTTCTAGAACCTGATTATAAAGCTTATGAACCTTCTAGGACCTGATTATAAACCTTCTTAACATTCCTGACTTGATTATAAACCTTATTAACCTTCTAGAACCTGATTATAAACCTTATTAACATTCCTGACCTGATTATAAACCTTATTAACCTTCTAGGACCTGATTATAAACCTTATCAACATTCCTGACCTGTTTATAGACCTTATTAACCTTCTAGAACCTGATTATAAATCTTATTAACATTCCTGACCTGATTAGAAACCTTATTAACCTTCTAGGACCTGATTATACACCTTATCAACATTCCTGACCTGATTATAAACCTTATTAACCTTCTAGAACCTGATTATAAACCTTAACATTCCTGACCTGATTATAAACCTTATTAACCTTCTAGGACCTGATTATAAAGCTTATTAACATTTCTGACCTGATTATAAACCTTATTAACCTTCTAGAACCATATTATTATTATTTTCATTATCAACAGATACTTAGAGTATTCCATTGATTCCACCAAGATCAGAAAACAGGATGCTTCGTACACGATACGATATGTCGCCTCTAACTACGTTGGTAGAGCTCTAGCGTGGGATTTTTTTAGAGCTAACTACGACATCTTGTTTGATATGTAAGTATTAACATAAAATGTCACACATCCTGGTACTTTATAAAAGGTCACTCATCCTGGTACTTTATGAAAGGTCACACATCCTGGTACTTTATGAAAGGTCACACATCCTGGTACTTTATGAAAGGTCACACATCCTGGTACTTTCTATGAGGACAAAATTCAATGATATATATGTATGCCGATGATAAACAAATTTAAAGAAGTTTATGGAATACTGTAGAATACTTTATTTTCGCTTGGAATTAATTTTCACTATTTTTGCTGAAGGAATAATTTTGCGCTAATGGGACAACAATAATTAAATACTTTATTTTAGCCAAATTTAATTTTCGCTGAAAAGACCTTTTGGGTATTTTGTATGGAATTTATTTTCACTGATTTTTAAAGAGTTGAATATAAGACATATGGTATATTGGCTGGATTTTATTTACACTGAATCATTCCTTCAATGAAAATAGCAAAAATAAATTCAGAGCAAAAAGTATTTTACAGTAATATGTGCCAAGATTTACAGGTCAAAGTGCCAGGATGTGTGACCTTTACAGCTCAAAGTGCCAGGAAGTGTGACCTTTGGGATCATGCATAAAAACCTATATGATATCAATAATGATAAAATGTGTTTATGTCTGTAAATCTGATGTTGCTTGCCATTTCATAATATATGTTTCTTAAATTAATATGTTTTATTGATAATGTAAATGTGGACTGTGTCTGGCATGTATATTTTTTATAAAGATGTTTTTCCAAACATTTTTTCTGTATACTTTCTTACCTTTTTTTTTCTTACCTCATTTTTCCCGCTGAAATTTGATTGCAACATTCTGCATGAGTTAATGTATTTTTTTTTTTAATTTCTTCGTTAATTATGTAAACAAAATTTGTGCCTAGCATGATTTTTTTTTTCAGAGATGTGTTTTTCTAAACTGAATAACTTTTTTACTTTACTTCTTTAACGTTTCGAATAATTTTTTGAGTGCCAGATATTTTTTTTTTTTCACTCACAATTCTGTGCAAATATTTTCACATTTTGTAAAATTTTATGACTATGACTAAATTTTATCGTCATTTTGGACCATATAGACAGTTTCAGATATTATTTTTAGTTTCTAATCAAAACTTTTGTCAAAACAATTAACGTGGAGAGGAGCGAACGATACAAATCCATTTTGTAGATAGTGTCAAAAATTGACAATGGCACTTAAAAGGGATAATCATATTTATGAATCCTTTGGGAAACACAAAGTTGCATGTCTGGTGGTCGTCGTGCCGTGTATGTGCGATATTCGTGTTGATAAAAATTGATTTTCCCACAATCCAATGCGCTCTTCTAATGAAAATCACAAGTATCGTACAATCTGTATTAGAAGCCGCATTCTTAAATAGAAGACGCACCCATTCTTTTTGAACAATTGAGAACCAAAAATTCACCATTTCTCATATGTGTAGATGCTCTAATAGAAGCCGCATCCCTCTGTTGCATTGTATCATTTTGATAGAAGCCGCGGCTTTTAATACAGATTTTACAGTACTAGTTTTGAACCTGGAACTACTTGCACTAATTACTGCCGATGACTTCTTCGATACCTTCCAATCATCGAACAAATTACGTAGTTAAAGCAACGCTCAGTTTTGTACTCATTGATCTGCACAACATCCAAAGTAGTCCAAACTTCTCGCGAATGCATGGCGCGACGACCACCGCTTTTTAACCTGTTCTGTTTATTGTGTTCTTGCTTGCATGACTAACCCTTGGTTGTCATAGGTACGGTAGCGGTTCTTTTACGTTTGCTCGCCTGCTGACCGCTGTTACTGACCAAATGAATACAGAATTCGATTTGCAACAGGTATGTATGTACATATTTGGTAATGGTGCCCATATATGGAAATATGCTGTCACCAGTATCTCCTTATATGGTGTTTAAACATGTCATGCCCATATATGGTAATATGCTGTCACAAGTATCTCCTTATATGGTGTGTAAACATGTCATGCCCATATATGGTACAATTACCATTATGCCCATATAAGGTTAATAATGGTAACCTGTCCATATATGGCAAACATGTTCATATACCAATATATTGTATATTTGCTATAATGGCCATATAAGGTAATATTGACAACAGTATGTCCATATATGGTCATAATGAATCTCAAGAGTGATTGGTTGATTTGTATCATGTGATTGCCTTCTTTCCAGGTTTGGTACTAGTTTATTCACATGGAGTAGAATGTTGACGGCGCTGACGTCTCAGTTAAACACACGATTTGAGCTCTCACAGGTATACTCCACCATGCATGTCGTCATAGTTACCAGCCACGTGCACATTGTCATAGTTACCAACTACCTGCATGTTGCATTAGCTACCAACTATGCGCATGTTGTCATAGTTACTGAATATGTGCACGTCATAGTTACTGACTAAAGTGCTTGTCGTCATTGATACCAACTATGTAATTGTCTTGGTGCATGACGCCTTAGTTACCTAGTTACCGAATATATGCATGTTGTCATAGTTACAAACTACGTGCATGTCATAGTTACTGACCAAGTGCTCGTCATCTTAGTTAACTTTGGGCTTGTCGTCTTGGTTACCAACTATATGCATATTGTCATAATTACAAGCAATGTTGTCATAGTTACTGTGCATATTGTCTTAGTTACTAACTACGGTATGTGCATGTTAAAATATGCACTTTGTCTTTGTTTTGGAGTTATAACTTAGTTCTCTTTTAGAACAGTTTGGTCTATGTATATTTTAAAATGAGTAATCATAGTATTGTAAAAGTATGTATGAAGGAATATCGAGTAGTGAGCCCGACAAATTGACTGATCGGTGGCCGAGGGGAAGACGTGCCATGACGAGAAGTTAGGCAATTAGGCACTGCATGTAAATGTTGGTTTGAATCAAGCACACAGCACATGTTTACTATAATTTGACATAGATTTTACCATGGCGTTTATTAAGTGTTATTTACTTGCTTGACTGATATTTAGTGAATATTGAATAGTGAGCCCGTAGCATCGCCTGATCGGTGGCCGAGGGGAAGACGTGACGTGCTGTGAAGTTAGACGATCTGGTGCCATACACAAACGTTGGTTCGAATCAAGTTCCCAGTAAATATTTACTATAATATGACAAAGTATTTACCATGCGGTTTATTCGGTGTTAATCACTTGCTTGACTGATGTTTAGTGAATCATAATGCTGACCTGGTAATACATAACATGCAGCATCAGGAATCGTATTTATCACGTAGCTCGTATTGCCCAGCCTTGTAACGCTACGGGAAGTGCGCCCTCACATCAGAGAAATAATTTTCTGGATCACGCCCGACTCACTGTAAAACACTGTAAAATACTTCATTTTTGCTTGGAAATAATTTTCACTATTTTTGCTGAAGGTATGATTCAGTGAAAATCAAATCAAGAGAATATACTCTTTTTCTTATATTTTACATTCAACTCGTCAAAATCAGTGAAAATAAATTTAATACACAGCAAAATCTTTTATGGATTTTTATGTACAGGTCAAAGTTTCATGATCAAAATACTGAGAAATAATTTATATTAGCTGGAATTAATTTTCGCTGAAAAGACTTTTGGGTGTTTTCTATGGAATTTATTTTCACTGATTTTAATGAGTTGAATGTAAAATATAGGAAATAAATTATATTTGCTGGTTTTTATTTTCACTGAATCATGAAAATAACTTCTGCAATTGATTTGGTACTTTATATTTGTACAATCAGAAACTGTTTCAGGCACTCAATGTAAACATGTACCCTCCCCCTCCTAACGTACTTGCGTGTGATTAAACCAAGAGGTCACACATAACTGAAATAAACAGATCTGATTGGAAGCGCCTCTAAGACATTCGTCCAATCAGAGCTGCCCTAGCGTATGGCAATGAATGTAAAACAAAATGGTGGGACTTCAAGTTGCCATAGAGGGCGCACTTCAGAAGACATCCTCTGAATAGAATAATGATGGCGGAATAAACAGATCTTGGCTGTCAGAGTTTTGAAGGAATTATTTGTATGAGAACCTTGTTGTCCTGTCTTTGGGCGATCAAATTGGCATTTTTAATACAGTGGCATGGACGTCTATTTAAATATATTAATTAAATAACATTGATAAGAAAAGACTACTGGCAGTAAGTCTGTCCTCCAAGTCGTTCTGACAGGTAATTGACAAACGTAAATTATTCGTTGACGCAACAGAAAATCTTGCATTACCATACTGAGGTGTATTCAGTAACACAATAAGTTTTCAAACGTTCCCGGCATTTTATTACGCCAGCGAATCGCCATATATGGTTGTTAGCAATATTATCTTAGGCCAGGAAAAAAAAATTCTCTGTTTCTCGTTTCATGTAAATTTCAAAATCGTGAGGCGATTTTTTTTTTTTTTTTTTTTGAATACCGAGCTAAAATGGGGGAAATTTGAAACAAGTGCAAGTACAAGAGCTTTTTGGAATGCTTTAGAAGGGAAAAAAAGGTCTGGGGCGCATAGTTCAAAATGATGCGTGCGGAAATGAGGAACAGATATTTTTCTTCTTAGCTTTACTGCAGTTTAAAAATTTGTAATTCTGTAAAATGAAATTCACATTTCATAAAAAAAAAAAATAAGTGTAAACGATGGAAATCTGGGGCCACAACATTTCACTCTGTACCTTCACAAGTCACTTACCAGCAGTCAAATTTTCGCGATTTCGTTTTGAAGATCTTCACGAAATCAGTCACGCACGCAATATAGGTTTACTTACTTTGATTTTACATACTGTAAAAACTTTATTTTCGCTTGGAATTAATTTTCGCTATTTTTCCTGAAGGGATGATTCAGTGAAAATAAAATTCAGCGAATATACCTTTTTTCCTATATTTTACATTCAACTCACCAAAAATCAGTGAAAATAAATTCCATGAAAAATACCCAAAAAAGTCTTTTCAGCGAAAATTAATTCCAGTGAAAATAAATTATTTCACAGTACCTTTTTTTCTATATTTTACATTCAGTTCGCAAAAATCAGTGAAAATAAATTTCATACGAAACACCAAAATCAATTCCAGCTAAATTAAAGTATTTCACAGTAGTATTTATCATGTGGTGTTATTATGCTTGCTGTTGGTACATGTTTACAGACAAGCTGAAAAAAAAATTTAACACAACAAAACTGTTTTTTGGTGTAGGATCAATTGTTATGCTGTTTTTCGCCATGTAATTAAATTTGTTTTGCGTGTTTCATGTCAGTGGAGACCAATCAAAAAACATAAGAATAGTAGAAACACAAAACCGCTTAAATTTCGCAAAAAAAAACTCTATTAATTTCACGAGAGATGAATTTGGTAGCAGTGAAAATTTCTCTGAGTTCCTACGAGACGACTTTCGTGAAATGAATGTCATTGAATCGCGAAAACTCGCTAACAGCGAAAGTGGAGCGATCTACAGTTTGTACAACTACAGACAGTACTAGTAGATAATATAAACCAGATTTTAGTGTAATATTTTGCTTATATCTATTCATTTTTTCTATAATTTATTTAATAATTTCAGACCAAACAAACATAATTTTCTATTGGAAAAAATATTTAATCATAAACCTTTTTTATGGTGATAGGGATTCATGGTAATGTGGTGAGTTTAATTCTAGCCCCAATCCTAACACTCAAGGTTGGTCTGGAATCGCTATGTAAATAACATAGACGTCACAGAATTCTGTGTTATCACTGATTCGCTGTCTTCATGACCTCAGTACGTTACCATGGATACTCACATGCGCACACTAACCCGTACGTGCGCCCACAACCCTTTTTGTACAAGTCTCACCATAATAGACAGCATCTTGTTGACTTGAACCATGATTTTCTCTGACTTATACATGTGTCTTTGTTTTTGTTTTTTTGTTTCAGTTGATTGATTTCGGTGACAATCATCCTAACCTCGGGTCTGCGGCAAGAGCGTATGAACAAGCCATCGAGAGCACCAAAGCCAATATCAAATGGATGGACAACAACTTTGAGCAAGTTCAAGAGTGGTTGGAGAATCAATAATGCAGACCATCACCTCACTTAGGGGGGTCTCTTTGATTGAGACTTTTAAGTTAAGGGGCCTATTTTCAAAATGATGACCAATTATTATGCTCATTTCCCAATGACCAATTTATTTAAGTTTTGTCTAAGTTAGGGGGCCCACTTTTATAATTTCCAGTTAACCAAGATTAATTTAGTTTTCCAAATTAGAGGGACCATTTTTCAAATTCAGTCACCTATTGCTAATTTAGTTTTCTGAGTTAGGGGGCCCACTTTTAAAACTAAGTCACCTTTAATAGCTAACATTCTTATACCATGCTGCGGCCATTGTTGATTAATTTGCGCTCTAAATCCAGGATCGCTGAAACGTTATGATATGTACGGTTCGCTGCTGATACGATCAATTATTATGAAAGCGGGCCTAGGAGTGCAAATAGTCAGCAATGGCTGCTGCGTGATAAAAGGTGAATAACGATTACTGAGTTAAGGGGTCTATTTTGATGCATAACTACAGACGCCCAAGCCTAATTTGGGGCTATATTTCATGATTAAGTTGCCCAGGGCTTTGTTTGTTTAAGTTAAGGAACCCTTTCATAATTGACAGTAAGTTAAGGGGTCTTTTATAATTATCATGACATTTTATCCGGATGGAAATTATCATTTAGTGTAATTACTTGTGTAAATTACTGTGAAACGTCTTGAAAAATTTCTGTAAACCATTTTAGTTATTTTTAATTGACTGCATCATAATTTCATAAACTGAGATTATCATTTATGAAAATTTTACAAACCATTTTACCAATTTATCTCAAGTACCAGTTAGAATAAAGATAAAGCAAAGTAGCTCTTGGGAAAACAGGCGCCCTCTAGTGGTAAGCATTGTGCCCTCTAGTGGTACAAATTATCTGACGAACCAGTTCGGCTAAAGATAGGCAAAATAGCTGCTTTGAAAAAAAAACAGGCGGCCTCTAGTGGTAGGTACTGAACTGTAGGGGCACTTTATTAGATAGACCACTTTCCCGGAAGTAGCGAGACTGGGAGGCAAAAATACTCCTGCTTTGTCATGGCGGAAAATACAAACATGTCAGTTTACTGATAGTCGATAGAACGGAATTTTATTTTTGTGATGTTGATTGGTAAACCCAGAAGCACGATATCACGCATGTAAGTTTACGTTACATCCCAAAATGGTATGCACACATATGCAAAATGCTATTTCTTCGACTTCAGAGAAAGTGGTCTAGTCTCTGTAAGTTGATAGTACAGTGCCCTCTAGTGGGATGTCATCACTCACTAGGTGCCCTCTAGTGGTAGGTATTGGCAATTGCCTACATATTTATAATTCATTGTAAATTTAACAATTTGTAATTTGAATTAATTTTTTTTTAAATCGTATATAAAACACATCTTGTACTTGTGTAATTAATTTTATTTTGAAATTTCCAACATTTGTAAAAAACAAATTTAGTTGTGGCTGTATCCCATTCATAAATTCAACTACTTTCTTTCAGGAATAAATCTTCTAATTTTCACGCCGTGTATTTTGATTTTAAAATTCACAGATTTTTCGCTGAAACAATGAATTCTACTGTAAAACTTGTTCACGTATAAATTTAATTTTAATAGCAAATATAACTCATCAGGTGCAATGAAACCGAGTGTTTAACCTTTTCACCACCAGTTTCCTCTTTTTATCTTAAATTCACAAAATAGTCCCGTTTATCGTCTGCACTTTCATTCAGAAGATTGGGACAAAAATAACCAATTTTTTACTTAAACTTAAAATTGACCAAAATTTTGTCTATTGGTTCCAAAATCAGGGTTCATTTCCAGAAATATTGAAGGATATAAGAAAATCTGATGTTGAAAAGGTTAACTTTTTGAGAAATTTGTTCCCGCCCAAAATTCAATACAAATATTTCCACGTTTTGTCAAATTTTTAGTAAATTTAATCACCATTTTGAGCCACACAGACAGTTTTAGATATCACTTTCAGTTTTTGATCAAAAGGTTTGTCAGTTTTTATCAACATTTCATGTTGGAAGGAGCAGACTACAAAATCATTTTGTCAAAAGTTGAAAACGGCGCTCAAAGTTTTATTGCTTTTACAGTCACAGACAATAATATATAAAATGCGAAAATTTCCAATGAAAACTCATAGTTGACTGAAAGCCGTAGAACGGTTCGATTATAGTTATTCAGTTTCAAAACTCTGCTGCTGTTTTCAATGAAAGCAGATTTCGGCTAAATAAAAAAAATCCCGGATAAATTGTCTTTATTTTATATATAGTCAGATATTCCAGTTTTATTCAGAATAAATTTACACTCCAGTGTCAATCAAATATTTATAGTTCGTAGATTTGATGAAATAAACGTTGATCTAAGCGTAACTTAAAGCGTGGTGGTCGTCGTGCAGCGTGTGTTCGAATTTCATGTAAATAAACAATGTATTTTACACGCGTTGTACACGTCGCTATGAGTCCCATATCGAACACGACGCGGCGCGACGACTGCCGACTTTTAAGGTGGTAGCCTTTTTAAAAAGTTGGTCATAAATCGCATGACAATGTTCATTGGTTTATTGTTTAAAATCATGAAGCTATTTTCCCAGGGCAACTTGAAATAGCATTCTCTTGTGTGTTACATGGACGTAGTTTGAGAAACTTGTTCTAAGATCTTTCGAAAATTGTTATTTTTAGAACAATTCCATAGAGCACAGTGTTAAAGAAAAATTGCATTTTTTGACACTTTTTAAGAAAGTGAAAAATGTAATGTAATTTGATCTCCAACTCATGCTTTCTACATATCCTCATTACCATGGTAACTTCCCATAATGGCTTGCACATATGCTTAGTGCAGAATATGTATTTCTCTCCCATAATGCATTGCTCAGTACTGCAAATTGTGAATTCAGCTTAAACGGCCTTATTAGATATTTTGTAAAGTCACTCACTCACTCACTGAATTCACAAAATGTATTTTTCACTTTCTTCAAATGTAATTTTTTCATGCGCTATTTTTTTATTCTGTACTCTAGTATCGACAGTCACAGTTGACAGTTTGCGAGAAAGAATGTGTAAGAAACATATTTTATCCAGCATCTGGTTTTCAACAAAAATACTGATGAAAAATCACATATTTGTTCCCATTCATGCAACGAAAGGAATTGTCCTCATACTATATACAGTCAACAACAAATCACCAAGTTTCGATTTATTTAGATGAATTTTGCTAGCCAATCAGCATACAACCATACATCTTATCAAGCAGTGTGATTGGTTGCCTAAAGAAGCTGTTTCATAAGCTGCAAGCTGATTGGATATATAAAATTTGTGTTGCATATATAAAGTCTTTACAATGAACACAATGAAGGCAATACATTTTTTGTGTGCGATATATGTTTTATTTGTTTGTTTTTACTCCACCAAGATGTTACTGAATAATCACATATTAATAAACGAAACAAATTACAACAAATGTTTACTATTTCATCCATTACAATTTTTTCTCACCATATATTTCTACACAATGTTGTGAAAAAAAAAAAAAAAAATCTGCACAAAAATGGAGTTTCTAGAGAAAGTTAAAAAAAATATATAAAAAATTTCAAAAAAAAAAAAGTTAAAGAAGGAAAGAGTTCCATTTGGACACCCAGCCCCGAGCTCTACCCCTCCAGCACGTCCAAATTTAATTGTATATGCCCCTCCTAAGGATACCTATAGTTATCGAGTTGAACATATACAATTGAATTGAGGGGGGCTGGGAGTGTAGGTTTATGGTGGGGGTACATACAGAAAAAAGGATTTTTTTCTCAAATTCTGATTGGTCAAAAGTACGATCCACGAGTAACTTAAAGGGCGGTAGCCGTCGTGCCGCGTTCTGTTCGATATGGGACTCATAGCGACGTATACAACACGTGTAAAATACATTGTTTATTTACATGAAATTTGACCACCGCGCTTCAACAAGCTAGATTGCTCTTAAAACTGATACATATCTATATTGTACATTGTAATGTACCTAAATCCATCTTGTATTACCGGTAGTAACAAGGGTAAATACTACAAAATATAAGTTAAATTATTAATAACAATAATGATTGGTTTACAAATTATAATTTTTTTTATGAAAAGGCTAAGCCAGCTACTAGCCAGCTTGGAAGTTAAAGCGGGAGGGTCCTCACCTGCGTACGCCCGGGAATTGAGTCCCAAGCGACGATAGCAACACACACTAAACACACAAAAGCTCATGGGTAGACGCTTGTTTGTAAACAATGACGCGCTATGGCCACCTGACGCATGCGTAAGTGACGACTCCCCTGCTTTAAGTTACGACTGACTGTACTGTATGTTTCACATTAGTGACATTGGTAAATACCACAAAGTGTAAGTTGAAATTATTGATGATAATGATAATCACTTTAAAAATTGCAAATTTTAATGAAATTGCAAAACCAGTTATTAACCAGCATGGAACTTAAAAGGTGGTGGTCGTCGCACTGCGCATGTGCACTGAATACCGCCGGTGACTCCTTTGATACCTTCCAATCACCTAAAAATACCTAATTAAAGCTTGGAAACGTCTCCGTCAGTACTCGTTGATCTGCACAACGGTCAAAGTCGCCATCTTTGTTTATATGAGACCCATATATCTCGCGCATGCGTGGCACGACAACTATCGTGCTTTAAGTTATGCACGGTCTGTACTTGACTCTTAGTCTACATTTCACACTATTTGCTCATTTGACTACAGAAGATGTGATCAATGTATGTCGGTCTGTCTGTCGTCTGTCTGTCAGTCGCCAACTTCTTCAAACTGAAGAGCAGCTTGATGCATTTGTGTAGATGATAGTTCAAGTTGACTCCCCAAATTATGCAAATGAGGAAAAATTTGGTTACTGGTATTTTAAAACAAATGTGCATTATAATAATAAAGTGTCATTGCCCAAAACATCGATTTTTTTAAATAACTAAAAAAGGGCCATGTTAACACTTGCCAATTCATCATTCAACATCTGATCGTTGACCTCTGCAGAAGTTTCTAGTAGTCGTCTATAAAGGCATTTCCATTATCTGTATCGGAATTCATGACAGAATTCATTCCTGCTACATTTCCGGGATTGTTGTCGGGGTGATAAACTGGTTCATTTTCCTCAATTAATTGAATTTCGTCATTTTCTTCTCCAGTGTCGACAGCGTTCGGAGAGTCAGCCAAATTTGCATGATAATCTTGTATGTTAAAAACTTGTGAACTTTGACCTTCACCATTGTTAGTATAATCTTGTTCCTGGTTACCAACTTTGGTGGCGCTGTTAGCCTGATCTAGGCCACCCAGTGGATGATTGACTTGTTCAGTGCTGTTGGGGGTGCTATTTCTTTGTTCGTATTGAGATAAGCTTGGATTGTTGATACCATGGTCACCATTCAGTTGCTGACCTGGTAATCCATTATTATAATTGCTATTGAGAGCGCCACTGCTTTGAAAATTATTCTGATGTACGCCATTTCTGCCTTGTTGACGTGAAAATGCATTGTAATTGTCGCTGTTTTCCCGTCCTCCATTTTGTGATAAAGGACTATTGTAACCATTATTGTAACCTTGTTGATGATTTGACAATGCATTATTGTAACCTTGTTGTTGATTGGGCAATGCATTATTGTAACCTTGTTGTTGATTGGGCAATGCATTATTGTAACCTTGTTGTTGATTGGGCAATGCATTATTGTAACCTTGTTGTTGATTGGGCAATGCATTATTGTAACCTTGTTGATGATTTGACAATGCATTATTGTAACCTTGTTGTTGATTGGGCAATGCGTTATTGTAACCTTGTTGATGATTGGGCAATGCATTATTGTAACCTTGTTGATGATTTGACAATGCGTTATTGTAATCGGGATTTTGCTGTGCATTTTGCCGATGACCATAATTGTTAAAACCGTGCTGGTTGTTATGACTACCATGTCGTGGTGAACCTTGACCATAACCATTGTTACTATTTCCTGTTTGATGATTGGTTGTAGGAAACTTTGAATTGTAACCTGTCGTTTGCCCTATCAAATGGTTATTATAGAGGGCGTTGTTTTGCGGCGTATCCCCATACCCGTAATCCTCTTCATATTTGCCATTGGTTTCCATGGAAGCAGAATTTGCCGCAGCTTCTAAATCACCTGGACTGTGCGCTACGTAATCAGGTATATCAACATCAGTTTCTATTCCGCTCGGACCTGTCAATAACATGGTATACATTACAACAGCTGACAGTATAGCGTGTATATTGCTGGTGCGCGTCAAGTGAATAAATCATTATAGAGCAGTGACGCGCAGTGATATTAACAACCAATAAAAACAGCGTAGGTAAGCGTGTATATTGCTGGTGCGCGTCAAGTGAATAAATCATTATAGAGCAGTGACGCGCAGTGATATTAACAACCAATAAAAACAGCGTAGGTAAGCGTGTATATTGCTGGTGCGCGTCAAGTGAATAAATCATTATAGAGCAGTGACGCGCAGTGATATTAACAACCAATAAAAACAGCGTAGGTAAGCGTGTATATTGCTGGTGCGCGTCAAGTGAATAAATCATTATAGAGCAGTGACGCGCAGTGATATTAACAACCAATAAAAACAGCGTAGGTAAGCGTGTATGTTGCTGGTGCGCGTCAAGTGAATAAATCATTATAGAGCAGTGACGCGCAGTGATATTAACAACCAATAAAAACAGCGTAGGTAGGCGTGTATATTTCTGACGTGCGTTCGCCTCACTGCAGCTAACAGTGTATCAAAACACCGTGATAAGAGCCCGAGAGGTGTACGCCCATATGGCGTCTGCGTGTAACTTCTTATCTTTACCGCGCATCGCTGCTTTGTGAGGGATTTCCCATATGCTT